TTAGCATGTGCTTGGAGTGTGACTGGATGAATTACGCATTACAATTCGCCACCACTACCTTCTCATGGGTAACTAGGGATGGGCAATAAATGTTCATCAGTCAGCAATGCCTACGTCCCACGAGGGAGGAAAAAAAGCTTGCACTTCTCTTCATTTGCTATGGTTATATGTATAATCTTGGTATTTTAACTGTTTACTTCTTGAATTGTAGCTGTTTTATTATGCTAGGATAAAATGTGCATCATTTTTACAATGCTCCCTCTAGTCCTTGAGTATTACTTATCAAATCACACATAAAGTTACTCACACTAATACATCACCTACTTAATACTCCAGAGGAGGTTCACTAAGTTGATTCCAAAGTTGAGAGAGTTGGTTTATGAGGAGAAATTGAATAGACTGGGACCATACTCATTAGAATTTAGAAGAATGAGGGCGATCTTACAGAAACGTATAAAATTATGAAGGGAATAGATAAGAGGGAAGTTGTTTCCACTGGCAGGTGAAACTAGAACTAGGGGACGTATCCTCAAAATAAGGGGGAGCAGATTTAGAACTGAGTTGAGGATGAACTTCTTCACTAAAGAGATGTGAATCTGTGGAATTCCCTGCCCAGTGAGGCAGTTGAGGCTACCTCATTGAATGTTTTTAAGGCAAAGATAGATAGATTATTGAATAGTGAAGGAATTAAGGGTTATGGAGAGCAGGCAGGTAAATGGAACAGACTCCATGGAAAGATCAGCCATAATCTTATTGAATAGTGGAGCAGGATCAAAGAGTCAGATGGTCTACTCATGCTCCTAGTTCTTATTTTCTCATGTTCTTATGAGGCTTTTGCTTTTGTCCCATGGATGCAAGGAGACTGATACATCTATGCAGCTCATTAGGGTAAGATCATGTAAACTTTGAAACATTGCTAATCACCAGTTGATATGTGTCTATCCAATAAACCAGCTGTCCAAAAGCTGTTCAGTGTAAGATATCTTAAGATTTAGAAATCTGTACTCTCACATGATGATCACTGCTAGAATTAATACCCAGCATCCAGTAATCCTAATGGAATGATATATCAAATTGTATGTGTAACCTCAGCCACTCATTAATAAAATGAAGTAACTCTGGAGACAGTAAGGATTGCAGAAGTTGGAAGCTACAATCAATAAAAATGTGGAGCTGGAAAAGCACAGCAGGTCAGACAGCGTCCGAGGAGCAGGAAAGTCCACGTTTCAGGCCGAAACCCTTCGTCAGGACTGGGGAGGGGGAGGGGAGCCCAGAAATAAATAGAGGGAGGGGTTGGGTCTGGGGGAGGTAGGTGAGATGGAGATAGGTGGATGCTAGTTTTCAATTTTTGGTTTTCAGCTGCAAAATGACCAACTGTATCTATTCATTTCTTTTAGATGTTCATACACCTAACTTTAAATTGCAATTTTATAATGAATAGATAGTCCTCTGTGCATCAGAAATTAGTACACTTCCTTTAATGATTTTGCAAGAAGAGTTAATTGATTAATTCTGTTGCTTGTGGTATCTTAAGGCTTGAAACTAAAACTTAATCTGAACTTGTTGAAGTAGATATTTTGAGCTGAGTCAGGCATCAATCATGTATTTAAAATAGATTGTCAAAACATCATAAATCTGCATGCTAATGAGAGAATATAAGGTTTTGTCCAGTTCTATCACTGAATGTCTATTCATAGATTTAGGTTGCATTTAGCTTGTGGCCATCATCTCCAAGATTTCTTGCTGCCCATGTGTAACCTATACCACTCTTGACAGCATGTGCTAAGGCCTTCTGAGTTCTGCATAATGGATGTGAGCGAAATAATGTAAGTAAATTTTATATGTTTCTTTTGTGTTTACACCTGATGTTGTGTCATGTCTCAAGGTCAGTATCTCAGTAAAATTTGAGGAGATACAGTATGTCCCATTATACTTTTAAGACACATCCTTCTCATGTTGTCAGTGTGTTATAGAATGTAACCTGTGGGTACAAACGTCTCATACTTCACCTTATCCTGGGGATCACGTGAAGCATGCTCTTCAGTTGTAATCTATCATAATATTAGGTCAGACACTAATGCGGCTGTGTTAATAGCGGGTTGTTAAAAAAAAAACTGTTAGATTCTTCAATACAACTGTATTGTTTCTATGTTAGGAGGGATAAAATAAGTATTGCCACATCTCTTTGCTGGAAGCAGTGCCCGCATCACCTAGTTCTTTGGTCCTCTAGAAGGGAACACCTTTACTTGTTTCAAAGCAATGGGCAACTTTGTGTATCCTTATACAGTAATTCTATTAAGAAAAGGAAAACTTTGATAATGGCTCAAGTATAATTTTTTTAATGAGCTTTCAACTTATTGTAGATATTTTTAATCAACATGTTATGACACACCTGAAATGTGAACCCAGGACTTCTGGTCCAGAGGTAGGGATACTACCACGGTGCCATAGAAGCCTGCTTCACCCATTGTATAACTAAACATTGTACCTTGCTGCTTTTATATTTCCTAGTTAACCTGCTTGGAAATGTCATTACACACCTCTGGAATAGGTGGGCTTTGAGCCTAGCCTTCTTGGTGTAGAGGTAGGGATGGGAGCACTGCAGCCCAATAGCCACCTATATATAATTAAACATTTAACCTTGCTACCTAGAACAAGTTGCTTAATTTCAATTAGCAATTGAAGATCTTAAATTGGCAGATGAGGCTTGATTTAGTTGTAAGAAGGAAAAAAAAAAGTTAATTGGTGCATATTTATTGGAAAAGTGGGTGATTGGTATAGAAACCCAGAGGTACAGAATAATGCTCTGGGAATGTGGGTTTAAATACAGCCATGGCAGCCGGTGGCATTTTAATTTAGGTAGGGATGAATATAAAGGTGCCTTACAAACAATTGACTGGATTTGATTGCTGGCTGTTTGTACTCTTTGACTTTTAAAAGTGCTCAAGTCAGACCCCCAAGTGTGTAATTGAGTTTAATTTAAATTAGGGGATTAAATGTTCGGAGAGAGCATTTGTTCCTCCTATCTCCCAATACAATATGTTCACATAGTTAATGTTACATCCATTTGCTTAATACAAAAATTTATTTAGCTGCAATTAATGATCAATGCAATAAGAATGTATCTCAAAGCTGTGTTTAATAGAGGCTAATCCAAGTTAATTTGAACTCTGAGTGACTGTGTTGGAGTAGCTGTCTATTTGCAGTGCTAAGTTTATTTTAAGATCCATTTGTAAAAATACAATAGTACTTGTACACGTCACACTCCAATTACTTTTCTCTCTTGAAAGACACATTCTGGAGATGTCATGTGTCTCTCTTTTTTGCTCTGGTAAAATTCGGTATTTCAAATGAAGACCTCTAGTTGACATTTTGCCTGGTTGTTAGCCTTCATAGTAAGAGTTATATTTCATAACTTGCACACAGAATTTGATTCAGTAGTGAATATCAATGAAGCTAGCTGTCAAAGTGACAGTTAAGTATTGATTATTTTTGTGAAATTTTACTGAAGTGCATTTTTAAACAGGGTGGAGAAATTGAATACAGACATCCTCACAAAAAAATATTTTTTTTTGATCAAAAATTCTTGAAGCTAGGAGAAAAGCTGTGTAGATCGAGAGTGCTGGGGAAACACAACGGGTATGTTAACAAGTTTGGAACCTGTTCTGATGAGGGGTTACTGGATCCGAAACATGAATTCTGTTTTCTTTCTACAGACTGCTGTCTGGTCTGCTGTCTTTTGTTTTTGTTTCAAATTTCCAGTGTGTGGAGTTCTTTATTAGTTTTTAGCGTAAATTGAAAATTGGGTTAGTCTGTGGTTCTGATTTACTTCCATTTTGAAGAAGCAAATTGGGGTTTTTACAGGAAATGTGATATTTTGTTGCAAACTGCTTGTTTTGGGTTAGGAGTGGAATTAAGTCTGGTCTATAATGTTCTGAGAATTAAGACTGGAGATGCATTTTGTCAGTATAATTGCATAAACTATTAGAATTTATGTTCATTGGTTTCTATGTTCATCAATGTCTTACTTGGATAATAAGTATAGTGAAAACATTCTCAAGTTTAGTTGGCTGGGATTTGGCAATTAGCACAAGTAAAAAAACCTGTACAAAATTAACATGAATTCTACTGGGTGTTTTATGTGTACCAAAGTGAAGACGTGGAAATGTGTTGATTTTCACATTCATACTTTAGCATTGATTTAATGTTTTCTATAGCAAATAGTGGTGGCATGTTGTAATAGTAGTTTGTAAAAAGGGCATGATTTGCAAACGAAAAGAAAGCAATTTCTGGACGCACATACGTGATGACTTGACAGCAATTAATTTGTAATGAACAGACAAGCTCTTTCACACTTTTCACAACACTGGGGCATCCAAAGCACTTTGTAACGTCCCTAGGGTAATTTTTAACTATAGTTAATGTTGAAACTCCGCAGGTTATTGGTTCATTATTATTGCATCAGAAGTTGCTTGCTAACTTCCCCTTGCGTCAGTATCTGTGGACGTACACTTCCAGCAATTCGACAACTGTCAGGATTGGACTTCCCCCTTCCCCGTTCAGTTGCTAATCATCTGAAGTGAATTGGACACAGTCCAAATCTCCGCTTTGAAAGTTTAAACAGACTTGTTTTGGTCTGTCTCTTAGCATAAAAAAATCATTCCTCTTGTTTCATCCCTCTGGGTGAGGATTAAGTTGGTGAATTGTAGCATTTTTCATTGCCCTGTGTCAGTGAATGAACAAATTGCATGTGCACCACTCCAGAGATCAGGTACTAAAACATCACCAGCACGTGTCATTCAAGTTTGGAGGAAAGTGTACACAATTTCACAAACCCTCTTGAGACATCTTCATATTGTGTCACTGAGTGCTGGAAAGGGTCATTGTGCAGAGTATTTACATTAGGAGGCCTTTCCTAATCCAGAACCACGACACTAATGTTTGGCTTCTTGTGGTGCGTGCTATAACATGTACAGGCAGTCCACAGGGTGCAATCGGGTCATGTTCTTTAATCCGTTCTCAAGTTGACTTGTACTCCAGTCTGAACACGATGTAGGACAATATAAAATAGCTTTCTTTTTAAGTACAGGAAATATTTGTATGTCAGATGTTTAAAATTACACCTTGGTATGAGATCATGTTCATAAGTTGGATGTTTGCAAATTGGGGAGCCCCAGGATGTAAACAGGTTAATTACAAATCTGGTTGAGGAGGTGGTGGTACAGTGGTAATGTCACTGGGCCAGTCATCCACAACCTCCTGGTGATCTAAGTGCAGAAGTTCAAATCCCACCAGGGTGAATGCTGTTAAAGGGGAGGGACGGCAGTTGTGCCACACCGGTCCAGTAGACCCAGGTCCAAGTCCCAGAGGTATGTTTGTAAACCCAGGGGAACAGGTTGATCTGAAAGAACATCTACACTAGAGGGCGCCTGAGCTCCAGAAGGTTTGAAGTCAGCGGGCAGGGACAGGTGCAAGGGAATAGGGGCGGAGCAATTTGGGGAAGGGGCGGAGATAGCCGGGAAGGGGCGGCGTCAAGGGCTGGGGCGTGGTCGACACGAAGGTGGGGCTGACGGCGAGGGGGCGTGGTCACCACGGTGAAGGGGCGTGGCGACCGGGGAAATCTCGCGATACTCGGCTGCCTTGCTGACTATTATTACCGGCGGTGCCGCGCGGCTTCTCTTCAGTTCGTCCTCAGTGCAGGACAACGGGAGCGAGCCGTTCAGAGTCCAGTTGGTCTTTGGTGTAGGACAACAGCGGGAGAGACCGAGCTATTTACAGTCCAGTTCGTCCTCAGTGTAGGACAACAGCGGGCGGGATTGAGACAATTACAATCTAGCCTGGCCCAGTCGCACACCGCACCGATAGCCGAGGCACAAGAAGTTGCTGGAAAAGCTCAAGCAAGTCTGGCAGTATCTGTGAAGAAAAAAAATCAAAATTAACATTTCGGGTCCGCCGACTTTTCCTCAGAACCGCTATCCGTAGCATTAATAACCGGTAAGACACAGACTTTTGTCGGTCTCTTCTTCCATTTGGGATTTGTTGGCTTCCTGCCTATCCGCGGCGACTAGGCCCTGTTACCCCGGTTACTCCAGCTGTGCTGCTGCCTGCTCCATGAGAGGGAGAGGGGGAGGGGAGGGGCGGAGATAACCTTTAAACCAGCTTTAACCAAGCTGTAGATTTATGGGCTCGGACTTCACGGGGTCTCCGAGATGGTACTCCTGTGTGGTGCTTCGTGTTCTCTGTTTATAAAGCTGAAATATTCCTCAACTTTTTTTTTAAACAAATGATCAGCTTGTTGATTCTCTCCCGATTTCCGCCCTTTCATGTTATAAGGGAACTGTCGCCCTGTCAGGAATCATGGGCGCAACTGTTAAAAATTCTGAGATAAATGTTGATTTTTTTTTTGTGTTTTTTTTTTCCTAAGTGGAATAGATCAGATTCTTTCAGAGGCGAATAAAGGTCATGTAAAATGTTAGGAACGCTCAGCTGGTCAAGGTTGCATTTGTGACGGTGGAATACAGGTGAAGAGTCCTCTGCCTGAAATGTGGACTTGGCTCCATTCTCCACAGGTGCTACCTGATTTGAGTCTTTTCCAATGCTTTTCTGATCCCTCTGTAGTTGATGTGCTATTTATGTAAAACTCACCTACTTTGTGTTTTAAATCAAGAAGTGTCACTTTTTTTTAAAATGGATATCTATTTGCCAAACTTGTACCTGTTTTTGTTGAGTACCCTAATGTCAAAATGTGCTAATTCCGTAAAAAGGAGCACTTTAAAGAGCATAACCACCTGCCGTAGTTGTATTCTTTAGATGAATGTACAAGAGTCTGATGTTCTATTTTGTACTCTGTTCACAATGCAGGGATATAGTAAACTCTACTTGAAAGTGTATACCCTCAACTATAAACAAGTTCATAGAGAAATACATTAATTTGTAGCTTAGAAGATGTGTGTGATATCTATGTGTGAGATGGTTTTAAAAAAAAAACTTGAGAAGGTGAACAACACGGTAATGCAAGCTTTGTCTTGTAAAGGAAGTGCTTTGACTGCAAAGCAGATGCTTGAGATTTTCGCAACTGCCAGTCTTAAAGAAAAAAAAAATTCTAGAATTTTCCTAGTGAAATAGAATTTGAGCTCATTTACTGTAAATCAGTGGCCTTGGAAATTAAAAGGCTGTGTAGTGCAGCTGGCGACTGGTACGGCTCCATGAAGTCCTCCTAAACAGGAGTTTAGCTCATTCAATTATTTGGTGCAAGATTGTCCATAACTTATTACAAGAAATATTGAGATATTGTTTTGACATTGGTAAAACTGGGAGTGTCACTTTATTTTCTTGTCACAAGGATTCCAGTTAGTCTCAGCCTATTTTTACAGCAGGGTGAGGGGAAAGAAAGCTTTTTGAAATTTTTAAGGAAACACTATCTTTCTCCTCCACTCATTTTCTTCACCCTGCATTTTTCTGTTTTTTTTTAAGACTCTTGACAGTAGTTGGAAGTCCTGAACATGCTCTGAATCTTTTCTTTTTGCCACCCTTTACATCTATACCCACTTTGGATAGAACATAATGTTTGCAATTGAACTTTAGTTTAGTTTAAACTGAGCCTTGCAACTTACAAGTTATAATGATTTCACTAATGTAGTTAAGCACATCATTTGGAAGTAGACTATATGCAATGGTGCATACTTTGGATGTTTTTGTGGTTATAATATTTGTAAAATTTTGGTAAATTGTGGTGGAGAAATGCTGTCCTGAGTTGTGCGTCACCACTAAATCCTGAGTGATTTGCAGTATTTCATTGTTGACCACCCAAAAATGGGATTCCCTGTATTGTCTCAAATGCAAAAAAAAATGACTAGATTAGTAATAAATGCAATTACAATTCATTACTGATAATTAGAGCCAGTACTTCATGATCCAAGAACTCCCGTTTTGTTTTAAGACTAGACTTCTATTTCTGCAATGCTGCTTTACTGTGGGTGGCAAGAAGGAAACACTTGAAACAACAGCATCAAGATCGCACATTAATATTTTGTGTGAAAAGATTAATTTATAATTTTCTCATGCTTTTTGGTGGCCTCTCTTCTCACTCTTAACACTTTTTTTTTCTGTAATCAGTATTTGACTTGGAATTCACCATTTCTTTTAAATCTAATTGTGATAGGGTTTTTCTTTGTGTTGTTTTCAATGGGCTCAGATTTCCATCTGATCTTGAAATATCATCAATTTGTATTTCCCAAAGGTTAATACAACTTTTTGTTTTTGCTTCTCCAAGCTGAAACTCATGGGGAAGGATTAGAAAAGGAAGAAGAGATCTGCATGGCACTGGCTGCAGGCATTCTGCTTTTGCCTTTGAATGTCCTAGCTCCACTTTAAATTTCTGTCCCTTGTTGTCCCAACAATTTCTATGTATCTTTCCAATCAAATCCTTTGTGGCTTTTTAACCACTCAGTCAGCTAACCCCACAAACTTCTATACTCAAGGTACACAAGCCAAGTTTATGTAAAAGATCGCCTTAATTTAATGCTTCTAAATCCCAGTATTCTAATCTGCGAATACACAAAGGCCATTCTTTTTACTGAATTTGGTAGTTTGGGTGATTATTCCTTTTAGAAAGGAATTGTTACATAGTGGATTTAATAGATTATGTAATGCACAAATTGAAAACCTCTGCATTTTCCATCCACCAAGCTAAAACAGCCAGACAGCTCTAACATTAATCAAACTCTACCTGTGCTACAATAGGAATATTATACATTCATAATCAAGTTATGTTGCCAGTACTGAAATGTAATTTACCAAGGTTGTACTGACTTGTTTTGATGTAACTGACCTATTTACAATCTATTCTGGAGAAACTGCTAACTTTTTTTTTTTGACATTTAGTGCTTATAACAATACAATTTTTTTTTTTTAGTTACTATGTTTTCTTTCTATTTCCTGCTGTGGATTAGTTGCTAGTAGCAGGAGAATTATTGGCTCTCGTTCTGCCTTTTAAATTAAGTTTTTGAACTAGTTGCTAGGAGGAACAAGGAGGGCACCTTTTCCCCTTGTTTTTAGTTGTGGAGACTTCATCAAGCTGTACAGCCAACACTGGAAGCTCACTATTGTGGAGGACCAAAGCTTTATTGTTGTTTATATCATTCTATTTTTAAAAAAGTACAGGTGTTTAACTTTGTTTCCTCCAATGTATTTAAATCAAGTAGCATACTAGTAGATGCTCTTAATGATCAGCCATTTCTGACAGTGTATGTTGTCTAAGGTACAAAGGTTTCTATTGAAGTCTCTCACGATTGTCTCAGTGTTTGAAGAGATGATGAGGATGTCACAACCAGCTGTCTAATTCTGGAGTCTTCTTTAGAAGCTCTGGACTGCAGCCATTTCAGATTATATCTTGCATGCTGAACTCAAAGTTTGTGTTTTCCTGCCTTTTTGTGAAGGAACAATTAAAGTACAGTAAAGATGAGTTTTTTGAGGTTTGGGTTTGTTATTCCGTATCTGCATTACCAATGGAATTCTTCATTCAGGTGAGTTTACATTTGAGAGCTAGTCAGCTTGGTTTTAAAATGAGATTTTTGCATTTATTTTGAGTTGTGGATATTGCCACAACTGGTTGTGAAGTTTTTCTCCATGAAATAGAAAATATTGAGAAGATTATTCAGTTCTAGTTTCCAATAGTGGAGTCTGATTTAAAAACTGTTATTCCCTTGAGCAACAAAAAAATTAGTTTTTCTTGAACTTTGACAACTTTAAAAGCTGAATTCTGTACACAGCATTTTAAAAATTTGCATAACTTTTATCTTTGATTAAACTTTGGTTAAACTGCTCAGATTTCATGTGTAGTGTGTGTATTTTTATGGAGCTGTATCTCCCAACCAAGCTTGAGGTGAAAATCGCCAGGTTATAGTGCCACATAATGTTTAGAACAAAATCAGTTTAATCTAGTAAGTAAGCATGCTATTCCCATCATTTGGAAAGCAGCAACTAGAATTTTGTTTTTGTTTTTTCCTTCAATATTTCAGAAAATACATCAATTTGAAACTAGACTTCCAGGACTTTTTTTTAAATGAAGAGTATGAAGATATGAATTTGGCTACCTTATTTTAACATACATTAAAGGCACTTCTTTTTTTTAGAGAAGTGTGTAAGAAGCTCTTCTGGTAACTGAGTGAATATATAAATGCAATTTGTAGAAAAAGTTGTAAAGCAGTAACTTCAGATATGTTGTTTCAACGTGTGTGGGCCATCTCATGAATTATTATCCTCTATACTTGAATATGAAGATGTATTAAAATTTTCTGGAAGTGCAAGTTAATAAGTTTGAAAGCAACGTGACATTTGGTGAGCAGTGGGGCCATATGTATTTGTTTAGTTATCTCATGTTTGTGTGTCCTGCTCAGGAAGATTGTGTGTTCTGTGCATTACTCCTTTTTTGTGTGAAAATGTTTGCTGATTTTGGAGTCCTGTTTCAGTCATTTTTGTTGCCTGTAACCCTTGCGCTGCAGTTGAAATAGTACTGAAGGCTTTTTTTTCTATTCTATTTACCAATTTTGGTTTTAAAGTTAGCGCTCCTTCAGATTTTAATGTTAAAAGCAAGATTTCCCCTACAGTTTTATTTTAAATTGCTTTGTAATGAGCAATCATCCCTTGTTTCTGTTCCCAGGTTCAGGTCCATAAGTGTTTCTTAAAAGTGTAACATCCAAAACTTGTAATTTAATTTCTTTTCCTCATTGCATAATATTTACATCCTGATTACATTTGTGAATCATTTTAAAACATTATACATCATTGGTTTGTTTTTCAAAGAAATGAGGGCTGAAATGTAATCTTTTCAGGTGATGTAAATAAAAGTTCCAAGTGTTGCAATTGCACAATGACTTTTCCATAAATGTGACGTATGTGAGTGTTTCCTCTTCAGGATGTGTTTGTTTTTTCTCGCCCACAGTGATAGTCATACTATAGGTAAATTTCTTTTCCTTTTCCTTCTCCTGTAGTTTAAGAACTACAATGGAGGCTGTTGTTCGTCGCTGTCCATTCCTTTCACGTGTATCCCAGAATTTTCTTCAGAAGGCTGGCAAGTCACTGATCTATTATGCACAACACTGTCCCATTATGATGATGAAGGCTGGAGCCAAGCCTGTAACCCGGACTGTAGCCACCTCTGCTGCTCACAGCCAACAGACCAAAGAAACCACCCCAGTGAATGAGAGTAAGGATCTGATTATATTTTTAAGTTGTGATAACTTTAAAGCTGCTTTATGTATACCTAAGGACTTTCAAAGTCCTTAACTGTTGGAATATGTCAAAAGGAACAAAATTATTCCTTTTTTTAAACTTTAGCTTGTTAAATATTCTTTTGAGGCTTGCCAATCAAATAAATGGGCATCATTGGTGATGAAAATGATTATGGTAAAACTTGGCCTGCAGTCTATTGATTTTAAATACTTCAATGACCCAAGGTTAAAATGTCCTTCATTTATCCACTTTAATTGCCAAGCTGAAACAATAATCTTTTTGGCATAGAGCTCAATTTAGCTGTAAGAACATGCTTAAATAACAAGACTCCAGTGTGACTCAATCCTGAGATTCCGGCTCTAATGGGTATACTATAACAAATTGAATTACTAGAGCTCAGTAGTTTAAGAATAAAGTGATGACAGTTTTGTTCAAAGTTGGTTGACATGGACAGCGGATGTGGGAAAATACCAAGATTGTGCAATCCCTCTGTTTGGACTGATGTTTCAGATCCATTTTTCTATAAATACTGCAATACTTTTAACCATAATCAGCACAGTTTCTAAAGCATTTTATTATTTGTTCTTTGCATTAAAGTAGACCAATTTGATTAGCATCTGTTTTGTTTAACTTAAGCTTTTAAAGCTCCAGATTTTTCTTTTAATGGTTTTTGAAAATATTTTCCTTTTGGATTCAGTGTTTAAATTTTGCTGAGGGTGCTTTTCTGAATGCTCCACAGAACCTACTACTTTGACTTCGGCACCAAGTGTCCCAGCTTCTCAGCTTCCCCCTGGACACCCAGTCCCTAGTGCTGGACAGACTATTGCTTCCAAATGTCCATTCCTCGCTGGTGAGATGAGCCACGGTAAGAGCTCTGTTGTCCGAAAAGCCAGTGTGGAGTTATCGGAGGATGTGCAACAGATGCACGCTGTGAGAAAAGGTAGGATGACCTGGATGTTAGAATGCAATTTAATTTGTGTACTTTTAATTTTGAAGGCATGCTGTCATTTTACTTCGGGATGTTCCAAAGTGCTTTACAGATGTCATTACGTTTCCTTCAGATAGCGTCACTGTTTTATGGGCAGATTTGGCAATTAATTTGCCTTGTGAAATTTCATGATGAATGAGCAGTTGTCAGGTAGTAGCAAGAGACTTTGTTATTTCACAATTTAAACTGCATGTAATGTGGCAGCCTGATTTCTAAAAATGACTAATCTCCAAGTTCCTGAAGCTACTGAATTGAGTTATGATGATTTTAGATAATATTTATATTCATTTTATAAACATCAACTGATTGATTGTGGTACCTTCCTGAAGTGTTGATTATTCTCGAACAGAGTTACCTGTGTCATCTGTCAACTCGACTGTCACCAACATCACAAAGGTAGATGAACAAAAGGAAGTTGGCCTGCAGAGGAACCTAAATAAGGGGACAGAGCAAAAGCCTTCAATTTCTCATCTCATTCAGGATAATATACCAAAATGTGAGTGCAGAACAGAATAAAAATCGTGCAAGTATGCAATAAGTAGTACCAGTTTTAAAAAGTGTTCTTGCAATCTGGTCAGCCATGGTCATGTCACTTGGTTTTATTTTTAAGTTTTTAAAACCTTTTTATTCTGTACTTTTTATAGCCATTTCAGCTTTCAAATATGATGGATTTTTTGAAAAAAAGATTGATGAGAAGAAGAAAGATCATACTTACCGTGTCTTCAAAACTGTGAATCGCCGTGCTGATGTATTTCCCATGGCAGATGACTACTCTGATTCTGTGAGTGTCAAGAAGGAGGTTTCTGTTTGGTGCAGCAATGATTACCTTGGAATGAGCCGTCACCCATGTGTTGTGGGGTCTATCATGTAAGTTTCTGAAATAAACTAGAAATAAAATCAAACCTGTGTTATGCCATAAATCATCTCTTGAGACTGGAGCATCCTGCAGTTGTTACTTTAAAAAACAGTATTGGTTTCACTCTAGGAATATTCTTTAATGAGCGTGAGCCATCCTGCATCTGTTGTAGTTAAACTTCTCTGAGATATGGTCTGGCAATAGATTAATCTGGATAAATTATTGAAAGTATGCCCTGGCTTCTCATTAGTGACTTCCCTCCAGCTAGTACCTAGGTTGACATATAAAGAAGGAAGACCAAGTGTTTGACATGGATCCGTTCCATGGTCTGTTCCTGTTTCTTTGTAAATATGTGGGCAAGTAAAGATTTGTATATCGGATGCCCAGTGGTGGTGATGGAGGCATCATATTGAGAAGGTTAAACATACCACATCTTAGTAGCACCTATGTGTCATAGGCCAATTTTCTTTTTTAATAATTTGGATTCTTCAATTTGTATCTAGGGACACCCTTCGGCACCATGGTGCTGGAGCTGGTGGGACCAGGAATATTTCTGGAACTAGCAAGTATCATGTTGATTTAGAAAATGAATTGGCTGATCTCCATGGCAAAGATGCAGCACTGCTGTTCTCATCATGCTTTGTGGCAAATGATTCTACCCTCTTTACATTGGCCAAAATGCTCCCAGGTATGAGTTTCTATTTATTTATTATAGTTTGTAAGTCAAATTGTCTACTTTTTAATCAGCATTTGCCCTCCCTTCCCACCCAGAGGTGCTGATCTTTGCTAGGTTTTTAAGGGTGGACATACCACTCGCTCATCATAATATTCTTTGTTTCTGAATAGAGGACACTAGCTGCTATCCTTTCTTCACACGTTTTTCATTGAGTATGGAGATATAAATCAAAAATAGCTCTTAGTTGAACTTTTCCTCTTTGTTATGCCCGGGATGTGGGAGGTTAATTGCATTGTTCTACTAATTTCGGCCTTTGAACTTGTGTGGTTCTGTCTTCTCTAACAGCCATTGGTGAGTGTAAATTCACACACTGCCTCCCTAACAGGGTTATAATTTCCACCATCTGCAAATCCATTCCTGCTTCAAAGTTTCTCGCCTATGTTATTTCCTCCACTTGACACCTCCGTCCGTGTGAACTAACCTGTTACTATGGCAGTGTTGCATTCTCTCCTTGACCCATGCAGTTTTAAACAGAATCAAGAACAACATCCTTTTAAACACCATTTTTGTTCCCACTGGGCTTCTCATTGCTTGTATCTGCTCTCCTTCAAGCCAATTAAGGCAGATTGTATCCTGCAATGGTTTATTTGAGTTTGCGCCCTTCGCTGTCTGTCTTTGGAATGAATCCTCCAGAGAACATCCCTTTTTCCCCCTCGAAATATATGTTCTGATTGTGTCCCTTCCTTGTTCATTTGTTTCTTCAATATGGTCATGGAGACCTCACCCTCACGTGTGTGAATATAATTTGGTTTACCTGCGGTTATCGGCTTGTTCGTGGAATTTAGAAACTACGCTTCTGCAGTGTGTGACAATAGCTGGCAAACTGGTTAATGCAATGAAGAGATTCTGCTATATTTGCCAGAGTTCACAAGTTAGGGCACAGTCCCCAATTTAACTAGGAAATGGATCAGAGTCATTTCCAAGTATGGCGGACAAGAACAAAGAACGACTTTTGCTGTAGTCACTTTGTTTTGGTTTATAGGGTGTGATAATTTGATAGTTAGACTTGCATGTGAGAACTGGTAATTTTTGAAAGGTAGTGGAGGATAGTTCTATAGACTCTAACCAAATGCCAGCAAGAGAAGAAAACATACAAGGTGGGAATGTAACAACTGAAGGAAAAAGTGAATTTTCCTATTTCAGGATTTTGTATTGAGCTTTTCGGTTTTCATTGAGAAAATAAATCTTGGATTATTTGTGAAATGAGCATGGTACACTGACAATAATTTCACATTGTACACACTGTTACTACTCAATCTTTGACACAGTGATCTCCAAATATTGTGCTTTTATTTCTTTCTAATGTCCCAAGTGTTAACTGTGGTCTGTGTTTTTACCTTTTTTTCTTAATATGGCTAGGATGTGAAATCTACTCTGATGCTGGAAACCATGCCTCCATGATACAAGGCATACGAAACAGTGGAGTTCCCAAGTTTATATTTCGTCACAATGATGCCCGTCATCTACGGGAGCTATTGAGGAATTCAGACTCGGCTACTCCAAAGATTGTAGCCTTTGAGACGGTCCATTCAATGGATGGTATGCAATGCATTCGTATTTGAATTTAAAATGTTACAGGATAGGGAACTGCCACTAACCAATTTGCAGCAGCAAATTAATCACACATTAACTTGCAAAATTTGTTGAGCAGCAACTTTTGTATTCCTGATGTTGCACAGAATGTGGTTTGGTTTAAGTTGATTTTTCACCTTTTGTAAGGAGTCTATGTAAAAGTGGTGATACAAAATATTTGTAATTTTTAAACTTTTAAAAGCATTTAGCTGAAATAACTGACATCCTAGATGAACAGTTAACCTCTTCCTTTTTTTTGTGTTGGGGTAAAAGCTTTACCTAATTCTTCCTAGAGCAATTATTTGTCATCCTGGTTATAATCCTGCTCTTCTGCATTAATCAGATTTTTGAATTAAGATTCTCAGAAAATACTAACCACTTAATATTGATGGTGCAGTTATCATTCCAATAATTTCTTGACTGTTCTGATTTACAGTTCACAACTAAACTTTTTTCCTCAAAGCCCGACCATTTTACTCTTTCCAGCGCTGATTCATGGTGCTGCAGGTCATGAAAACAATCTTTGCCTCAGTTTGCTGTAGGTCAAGAGTTTCATTGCAGACACAAGTTCTCATGAGCAATGTAACGGCAGAAGAGATTCGCGGGTAGGACCTAGAAGGCCTCTGAGGGGACACTGTGTAGAAGAGAACCTTTCTTTATTAATGGCAAGATTTGATCGGATTAGCTTTGAGGGAAGAATAGACAGAGGAAAAGATTTCAATGAAGATCAGCAGGGTGTTGAAAATGGGAGTGGAATTCTGTGGAAGTGAACGTAGTGGGAGAAGTTCGAGTGCCAATTTAAGTGAGGGCATGTGGAAGAAAACCACTGCCTTGAACAAGGATGGAGATGGTTAACAGTGCCAATATTTACCAATCCGGTTAGAGGAGTGTTTCTTTAAAAAATGTGGATAGTATGATATTCTGTCAAACTTTTTTTAAATTAGGGCAGGACTTTGTAGCTGATAGTGGAATTAAAAAAAAAAACATCGATGGTTGCTGTAAAGATCCATCTGATTCACCTAATACTCCTTTTTTGGAAGGAAAACTGTCATCCTTAACTGGTCTGGCCTACATGTGACTCCAGACTCTCAGCACAGGACTTTTAACTAACTGTTCTGAAATGGCCTCACAAGCCACTCTTTCAAGGGATGTTTGGAAGGAGCAACAAATGCTGACTTTGCCAGTAATGCCCACGTTCATTGATGATAATTAACTGAACATTTTGAGGTGACTTGTGAAAACTGTCTAATACAAATGCACCTTTTTGTCTTGGGTCATTTTGAGATTAAAAATGCAATTGTGAAATATTTGAGGAACAACAGTCTAGAGTGCAAAATTTTAAAAAAAAAAAAAAAAAAAGTTAATCTCTGGTCACAACCCAAGCTTCTCCAGGTCATTTGCTGTTATCTACAAACATTTGCATGTTTAAATGTTCTTCGAAAGAAATGAAGTACCAGCTAGCCAACTGTTAAAATTACCAAGCCTTTATCATTTTTTTAATACAAATTTAGCTTCTTGAATTGTCATGTGTGTCGTTCACTTTTTTTTTGGTTTTAGTTCCTCCATGTTCCTAAGTATCTGGTTTATTGGGTAGGCAAGTATGGATTGTGCAGTTCTAGTAGCACATTATACTTTTTTTTCATACTTCAAGTATAGGATTATTGTATGGTTGAATTTTTGTGTACTTGTGGGCTAAAGCTGAAGTAAACAAATCTCTAACCTTTCAAATATGCTGTCTTTTATTAGGTGCAGTCTGTCCTTTGGAGGAGATGTGTGATGTAGCTCATGAATATGGTGCAATAACTTTTGTTGATGAAGTACATGCTGTTGGCCTTTATGGCTCCAGGGGTGGGGGAATAGGAGATCGAGATGGAGTCATGCATAAAATGGATATAATATCTGGAACACTGGGTGAGTATGTTAGCATGTGAAGAAATGCAGACACTTTTTTTTGCTTCCCTTGAGCAGCAAATAGTGCATGTGATAGCAAGCTTCTGATTTAGAGTTTGATTATGAAGGTTGAAGGCTTTTTCCTATTATCAGCCTGTATGTTCTTTTAATTTTCACTTGTATTCTGGGTATCTATCTCCGCATCATAAAGCAGTAATGGTTTTAAGAATCCTTTAGTGTTACAGAGGTTACTAATTTAGGGTTGCCTTCATTAGGGACCAGGAAGAAAATGTTTAACAAAATACTTCTTTAGAAAAAGATTGAAGAATAGTATAAGGACATATTTGGGTGGACAGCTTAAAACATTTTAATGAACATTTGGTCATGGAAACAACCATGAAATTTAATTCACCTTTGACATTTTTGAAATTTGGATTTTCTGATACAAGTAACCTTGGCAGTATTTTTAAAAGTCTCTAGTTCAGCACCCTAGTGTGAGTTTACTATTTAATACAGTTCACTTCAGCATAGCAAGATGCATCAGGCCTATTTGGAATCAATTACTTAAAACTTGTTCAGTTGTCACACGTCAAGGGAAAGGCTGTTATAACTGCAGTCACGCAGTTCAGCTCTGCACATCCTTCTTTCAAAACAAATCATGCAAGGATATTTTAGTTTTGTGGTAATGAAAAGCAATGAGGCAATAATTTCTTTTTTAAAAAAAAAACTTCCAGAATTGAAGATGGAAAATCTCCTCTAATGCTTTGTTGCAAGTGAAAGTTTAACTAAAAATCTAAGGCTCAAATTTTAAAATCTAAACCACATAGTCACATAACTAAATTCTTTTGAAGTGCCTTCTAAATTCATGGTAGATTCTTTCTCATCTCCAGTTACGATATGGTTGCCAAGATGCGCAATCTGCTGGGGGCTTATTCCCTGTGAGTGCTTTCAAAGGTTTGATCCACCTATAGGCTTACGACATCAGATATCGTCATTGAGATTTGCTTGAAGCTTTTATTTCTCCTTTGCATGCACCACTGTTCTTTTGGCAGTTGGCTGCAATCCAAAAGTAACTTTGCTAGGGTTCACTTGGTCAGTGACCGAAAAGAGTGTGCATCTATGATTCCTGATGCATTTGTCTTCAGTAGCTGGTGGCAATCCTTGGAGAACTGTGCTAGGATTTGAAGCCAGTGGAAACAAGACCTGATTAATCTGTTAAAGCTTCATTATGCAGTGGTTATACCTGTGGGTTTGCAAACCCACTTCATGTGAAACCATACCCAACTGCATGATGTCGGCATGGATTTCTTGACTTTTGCTTTTTAAAGATAAACTACCTTTGTTAAAAATTTAAGTCTGAATTTATAATATTACAATGAGCATATGTGCAAGAAAACATTGAATTGTGACAATCTCTAGCCACTGAAAAATGTTGACTAAATTAGCCATGCGTGGATGTTGGTGTCTTCTCTAGGATTTTGGATAGGTATTTTAAGAAGTTACATTTCTGAAGAGTGTTATGTGACTTTAGAAAAGTGAAGCTTGGAAAGCAACTTAACTAGGATGTCTTTTTGGCATGTTCTAATAGCATTTGTGATGTGAAATCTTAATCAGCTTTCCTCCTCACCTCCCCCCATGAAGTTTACATAGTCCACAATTCATGTAAACTAGTAAGGAACCAAGTAAATAGAACCATTGAATTAATCCGGGTCATCGTGAAAAGGTCCTGTCCCTCTGAGAAAATGTATTGCCAAAAAACTCTTTCAAACCACAAAACAATATCCAGCCTCATAATTGTGTTGGAATTTGAGGGGTGACTTGGAAAGTGATGTAAGAGCACTCCAAGTTGCTTTTAATCTTGAGCAATCGGATCAATTTGACCTTTTTTGTAGTTGAACAAAATGTACTTGCTAGATAATTTTATGATCTGCCACATTTGATTTTGAAGTAACGTGTGGTGCACTTAGAATCTTTGTGTTCCTAAATAAATGAATTTCCATCCACCCGTTACATGCACAAAATAGAAATGAAGTACCTAACAATGTGCACGTACCCCTTAATGCAACTTTGAGAATTGCTGATTTTCCTTTCATGAGTTCATTCTGCGTTGACATTTGAAGTACTATCTTGTGGATTTTGGATTTATTTTTGCTTCAAAATTGTTACATATACTATAGCAATGACCTAGAAAGCTGTTTTGCTTCAAAGAGTGCAAACAAAGCTTTTCTTTTAGTGAAATAGCCTGAAGCCTTCTCACTTTTTAAATAATGGTGTCCCTTTTGGAACCAGCGGTTCAGAATGTGTAGATCAGTGCTGACAGCAGAATTTTTAAAAATCGGAAGTACAAGTCTACAAATAAGCTATTATTTGGTTAAACAGTTTAAATTGGGCATGAAATGCAAGTATAAATCCTGGAATAAAGGATGCCTTTAAAGGTTATTTTACCACAAAGCATTTTCTTGTCTCAGCATTTGGTTTTTCATGGAGACATTTTTCAAATGCTGTTGTCAAGTCACAGGGTGGGGGATGCTTCAATTGTGCAATTTGCTATTTCCACATCTGAGAGCGCATTGCCCAGTTTTTGTACAGCTGTTGAATGTGCGGCTGGCTATGATGTAGTGATGCCAACAGTGGGGACGACGGAAATTGCACCACCTCACCCCATTGAGGCAAGGTGACTCTCCGGTTGAACTAGCAATCCGTCATCTCCCTCTAATGACAGAGCAGCCTATTGTCCTCTTGAGAGTATTGTGACCTGCAGATCACTCAAATTTGAGTATTGCTGCAATTAATATTGAAATAAGGTTTCAGCAGCCTTTTTTTTGAGCATCTTTGAACAGTGGATACCAAGGTCCTCTGTTCATGTGTTGATCCCAGATGCTGCCTAGTGGAGGGGATAGAAGGAAGATTACATCCCACGTTGGAGTGGGACACCAGTCTAATGTTCAACCTGAAAATTATGAGGAGCATGTAAATAAGTTACAAAAGCAATTCGTACTTGCACTATGTAGGATATTACTTGCATTTTTAAAATAAATACTTCACTGTCCTTTTATCTTATCTTGTTTTGAACTGCCAGTGGAAG